TTCCGACGTTGTGGTAAGAGATTTAGAAAGGCCGATTATTCGTACTATTTAAAGGATGGGTAAAATCTAAAATTAAATATATCAATCTATCTATCTATCCGACATATACACAGGTAATTTAAAAATTAAAAATATGTTGACCAATAGCTATCTATCATCGTAAGTTAATAATAATATTTATAGCATACAAATTATGTAATAAATAATTAGCATTGGAACAATTTCAATTTTATTTTTTAATGGATTGACCTTGGATTTTTTATATTGAAATCTTTAGGAGAAAAAAAAAAAACAAAAGATACATGTGATCTATATTGTCTGATGAATTTTAATGAGTTTCAGATGATGTAGTTTCCGTGGAGTGAGGTTTATTATTTTCACCACCAAGGTGACCACGAGTAGATAATGCATCATAGCCAAGATAAATTAAAAAGGCGCCGAGTCCCCAAGTGAATCCTGGCCATGCATTTCTAATAACGTTAGCCCTGGAAAACCGAGGGTGGGCTCGCCAAGCTTCACGACGAGCCCACGGGTCTTTAAGTGGTGGTGGTGTTGTCATTCTTTTTTTTTTTTTTTTTTTTCAGAGGAAAAATTAAAAATTAAAAATTAATTTTGCTGGAAATTTTTTATATAATCGACCAATCGGACATCGTATAACATTGTGCAACTATGGAGATCATTAATATCATGATTTAAATTGTTGATTAAAAATGGGATGATTTCTCTGCAAAGGAAGAAAGGTATGTCTTGTTAAATTTTAAAATTTTTTAATTAATATTCAAATAACGGATAAATGATGATAAACCTACTGCATTAAATTAGTGAAAAAAAATTTTTAATGAACATTTTGATTTAAGTCGCTGAATCCATCCTTAAAAGAATTTACAATTATATTATATTTATTTATTTACAATAATTGTGCTAACAATTGTATTTCTTTTTTTTTTTTTATAAATTTAAAATAGATTCAAGATTAAAAAATTTAATATATATATATTATATATATATACATGTTAAATAAAATTTCTTGATGTTCATAAGTCTTCTGTCCATTTTTTGGAAAATCCATAATCACCTTG